GAAGCCAGGAGCCAGTGTTTTCTTCCCTGTGTCCAGCCTGGGTGCAGGGGCCTAAGCACTTGGACCTCTTCCATTACTTTCCCAAGTGTATTAGCAGGGAACTGGATCAGAGTTGGGACTTGAACCTGCGCCCATCTGAATGCCAGTGATATAGGCAACAGCTTTACCTGTTTTGCCCTAGTGCCCACCCCTAAGGCTTTGATTCTGAAAAACTATTTGAAAAGCAGAAAGACAAATATCTTCCAACTTCTGGTTCTCCAAAAACACACAAAACTGTGGTTAGACCAGACCAGAGCAAGGAGCTCAGAACTCAACTCTAGTGACCCACTTGATGGTTGGAGACCTAATGTGTGAGCGGCCATCTGCTGCCTCCCACTGTGCTTGTCAGCAGGAAGTTGGATCAAAAGCAGTGTACTTGAACCTGGACACTCGTGTGTAGGGTGCAGCATCCCAGGTGGCATCTAAACCGTTGTGCCAGCACTCATCCCTGAGGCACGTTCTTAAGGTCAAAGAGATAATTCGCATTTCATTGTTTCATACTTTCCCAGTAACTGAGCAAAAAAGCCTTAGAACTAATTTTTAAAAATTTTTTAAAAAAAAGTTGATTCCAGGCCAGCTCTGTCCTTGAAGTTTGACTGGATTCTCCAGAAGATACATTGCCCAGGCCTTCAGTCAGCCGCCCTACCCTGCCACAGGCTGTTCTTTCCAGTCTCCTCCTCCCTGGGGCAGAGAGTGTATAGCGTGATCAGGAAGTCTGAGTCTACCTTATCTTCGAGAGTTTTCTATACCTGATAAAGTAAAAATACTGTAGTTTCTTAACTCTGCAAGAATTGGCAGTAGTTTTGTATCTTTTCATTTTTCTGTTATTTGTATGGTTAAGCATTGGGAGGGACTGAGAGAAAGAGATCTCTCTGCTGATTCAGTCCCCCAGTATCCACCCCAGCCAAAGCTGGGTTAGCCTGAAGGCAACTCAGAACTCCACCCAGGTCTCCTGTGTGGATGGCAGAGACCCAATGCTTGAGCCTCCCAAGATGTGTATTAGCAGAGAGCTGGACTGGAAAAAGAGCAGGCAGGACTCAGTCCAGGCACTGTGGTAATGGGTGTGGGCATCCCAAGAGGTGACTTAGCTTTCTGCACTATGAAGCCCACTTTACCTTTCTTTTTGACACTCAGAAATGCTCTTAACTTCATTCTCATCTAAACTTTTGCTCTTGGTTTCTTGTAAGATGTTCTCTTTTTGACAAGCTTTTCAGGAATTTGCTTATTGTGCCTGCCTGTGATTGTCTGTCTGTGTGTGTGTGTATATATATATAAATTTCTTGAATTTGTGTCCTTAAAAATTTTATTAGCTGTGGAAAAATTTTCCAGTACTCTCCTTCCCCATTCTGGTTATACATTTGCTAGGCTATTTGGTGGTGTAATTATCATCCAGTGGTTCTATTCTCTTTTTTTTTCTCCCTTTTTTCTATCCCCTTCTCTTTTCTTTCTCTCTTGTTATCATTATTATCATCTTTTTCAGTATTTGCCTGAGTACTTTTTGTTTAAATATTACTTTTTATTTATTCAAAAGGCAGAATTACAGAGAAAGAGACCAGGAAAGAAACTTTTTTTAAGATTTATTTTTATTGGAAAGGCCAATTTACAGAGAGAGGAGAAACAGAAAGATCTTCCAACTACTGGTTCACTCCCCAAGTAGCCACAACAGCTGGAGCTGTGCTGATCCGAAGCCAGCAGCTTCTGGGTCTCCCACATTGATGCAGGGTACCAAGGCTTTGGGCCATCCTCAGCTGCTTTCCCAGACCACAAGCAGGGAGCTGGATGGGAAATGGAGCAGCCGAGTTACAAACCGGCACCCATATGGGATCCTGTCGCATGCAAGGTGAGGACTTTAAACACTAGTTTACCATACAAAGCCCAGGGAAGAGATTTTACATGTTCTGGGTCTCTCCCCAAGTGGCCACAACAGTTAGGACTGTGCCAGGCTGAGGGGCCCAGAACTCCATCTGGATCTCCGATGTGAGAGACAGGGTCCAGGTCTTTGGTCATCCTCTGCTGCTTTCCCAGACACATTAGCAAGGAGCTGAATCAAAGTCCAGGGCCACTTTAGGATGCCTGCATTGGAGATGGCGGCTTAACTGACTGTACCACATCACCAGCCTGCTGCCGAATACTTGCTATTGCTCTGTCTTCAGCTTTTGGATTTCCTTTCTGCAATATTAAATACATTGTTAACACTGTGATATTAACATTTCAGGTATTATTTTTTAATACCAGATGTTCTTTTTCTTATGTCTGCCATTCTTTCCTAATTATAGTTCTCTTAATTTTAAGACTTTTAATTAATTAATTACACTCTGATTTCAGGTCATATTTTCTGTTTTTTGTGTTTTTTTTAATTATTTATTTATTTGAAAGAGTGACAAAGTGGGAGAGAGAGAGAGAGATCTTTTCCATCAACTCATTTACTCCCCAAATGGCCACAGCAATTGGGAACTAGTGGACCAATTCAAAGCCAGGAGCTCCTTCCAGGTCTTCCACATGTTTGCAGGGGCCCAAAGCTTTCCACTGCTTTCCCAGGCACATTAGAAAAGAAGCTGAACTGGAAGTGGGGCAACTGGGACTGGAACCAGCACCCATATGGGATACCGACAACTTGAGCGGCAGTGTTACCCACTACACCATAGCACCAATTCCAGTATTTGTTGTTGTTGTTGTTTGGATGGTAAACATAGTTAATTTTGTATTGTTGAGTGATGAAGTTTCTTTTAAAGAACTTTGGAGTTTATTCTGTAGTTTATTACATTTCATATGGATCAACTCATTCCTTTTGAGGTTTGTTTTTAAACTTTATTGGAAAATAGCAGCTAGAATATCATTTTACTTTAAGGCTTATTTAGCTCTATCTACGACTACTAAGGCATGAATTTTCTGAAGTTTCTGTCAGTTCCTGATTCTTCAATGAAAAAATCTTTTCTAGTGAAAATCATCTTTCTTATTATCATGTGAACTCTGGGAACTTACAGATACCCATCTGTTCTTTACCTTGCAGCATTTTAACAAGCATATTGGCTTAGTGCTTGGCCACAGACTCAAGTGGATCTGTGCGCATGTTTCTAGAATTTTACGTACATCACTCTTTCTTATCTGGTATCCTTCCAAGGTCTGCTGGAGTTCTTTCTCTTTACACCAAGGTCTGAAAAGTGCCTCAAGGTGGAAATTCAAAGATATTTGGGTCTCACTTCATTTCTTTACCAAGTTTCAGAAACATACTTATTGTTCCATATCTGAAAAACCGTTGTTTCAGAGTTTTTTGGGGGCGTTCTAGCTCTTTATTATAGGATAGAAAGTCCATAACTAGTTAACTAAGCCATTTGAGTTTGGGTTTCATTATTAACCTGTTAAGATAACCATGGGAATTAAGTTTGTGTCCTGTTTATTTTTCTGGCAATTTATTTCATACAGTCTGTATTCTTAATGCTGCCTATAGAGTTTGACACTTTTATGTGATAATCTATTTTATCCTAATAATTTTCTTTTTAATGGTATATTTGTTTGAAAGACAGAGAGAGAAAGGAGGGGAGAGAAAGGAAGTCAGAAGGAAGTGAAAGAGATAATCTTTCCTTTGGTTCACTCCCCAGGTGACCACAAAGCCAGAGCTGGGTCAGGCAAAAACCAGGATCCAGGAACTTCATCCAGTGCATAAAGATGAAGCAGGGAGCTCCATGTCTCCCATGTGTGGAAGGGACCCGGGTGTTTGTGCCATTCCAGTGGTGCATTAGCAGGGAGCTGGAGCAGAAGAGGATCATGACCCAGCACCCATGTGGGATGCTGGTATTGCAGGCAGTGGCTTAACTGACTGCATCACAGTGCCAACCCCTGAATCCTAATCATTTTCAAGTAACAGTTTATATAGTTTAGCTATAATACAATAATACACAAAATAGTATAGAATTATGGTGTGATATTTTTGACAAGTAAAATATCATGCAAATAGTATTAAACCCATAAGTGAACATTTTTTGAATGCCTGCTACTTGAATTACAGCTTTACAAAGCATTGGGTTCATGGTTATAGTTATGAGACAGCTATTGGTTATAAACACTTAGAAGTAACCTGAACAGAATTATGACTGATGCCTAGTCAAAGATGGTCTTAAGTAAAATAAAATGTACATCAGTAGTCCTCTAAATGGCTGGCACTGTGATGTAGCTGGTAATGCTGCTGCCTACAACACTGTCACCCCATATGGATGCAGATTTGCGTCCTGGCTGCTCCACTTCCAGTCCAGCTCCCTGCTAATGGCCCGGGAATACAGCAGAAAATGGACCCCCAAGTGTTTGGGCTCCTGCCACCCATGTGGGAGACCTGGCCCAGCTGTGGCCATTGTGACCATCTGAGGAATGAACCTCAGTAATTTCTCTCTCCTCCCATCCCGTCTCCCAGTCTCTACACCCCTACCTGGCTCTCTCCTTGACTTTCAAAATAGAGAAATAAATCTTTAGAAAGAATAGTCCTATATAGTCTGGCACAATGACTCAGTTAGCTAATCCTCTGACTGTAAGTACCGGCATCCCATACAGGCACTGGTTCATTTTTCAGTTACTCCACTTCCCACCCAGTTGCCTGCTGTGGCCTGGGAAAGCAGTTGAAAATGGCCCAAAGCCCTGAGACGCTGCACTTGTGTGGAGACCCGGAAGAAGCTCCAGGCTTCTGGGCTGCAGATCAGCCCAGCTGCAGCAATTACAGACATTTGGGGATGGAAAGATTTCTTTCCAGCAGATGGAAGATCTTTTTCTCTGTCTCCTTCTGTCTCTGTAACTCTGCCTTTCCAATGGGGAAAAAAAGTAAGTCTTTAAAAACAAAAACAAACAAACAAAAATGAGGCAAGAAGAAAGAATACAGAAAACAAAAATGCAATACTTGGCATAATAATCATATATTCTTAGGCTGTTTTTATCATATATTTGTTAATCTTTACTTTTTATTTTTTGTTTTTCAGATTGTCAGTATTTAAACAGACCACACCATGCGTGAGTACAAGCTAGTGGTCCTTGGTTCAGGAGGCGTGGGAAAGTCTGCTCTGGTAAGTTAGCTAACTAATTGTAACTAATTTGTGTAATAACTCTAACATTTACTTGCTTTCAGGTATCCAGTGATTAAAGAGAAAAGGTAGCATTCTTTTCAGTGTACCTTGTATTGTCCACAAAGAACAGGGAGTCAATCCTTCAATAACCCCAGGAAAGCAGTGAGTGATGACCCAAGTCATTAAGCCCCTATACCCATTTGGGAGACCCAGATGAAGCTCCTGGCTCCTGGCTTCAGCCTGGCTCAGTCCCAGCCACAGGGGCTTTTTGGGGAGTGACGCAGTGGGTGAAGGAGATCGCTCTTAGTCTGTTTTCCTCACTAGTCTGAAGTCTTTCAAATAAAATGAATAAATAGATCTTTAATAAAAATAAATAGGATAGCTTTTTAAATCGATGGGGAAGAATGAGATTGTCTAGGGAAAATCAAGAGGGAGAAGAACTCAAGACTGAGCTCTCATCACCTCCCAACTTGTAGAGGTAGGATTACAAGATCCAGCATGCAAGACTGGAGCATGTCCTGTGCTTGAATCAGAAAGATGTGCCTTTACATGACAGCTCAGAGTAGAGATGACCAGGAACTACGGAGAGAGGTGATGGGATAAGATTAGCAGCTTCCTTCAGGTGATGGTGCCCTAACCAACTGGAGTGGGTTGAGGAGTAAATGACAGCTGAACAATTGCAATCTCTAATAGCCAGTTGAAGACATTTGACTGCAGGTGTGGACAGAGAAAAGGGGGCAGATGCTGCAGGGATCCATAAAGTTGAAGATTGAAGGCACTGGAGTGTGTTTGTATGTTGAAGGCAATAATTTAATATAGAAGTTTACCATGATATAGAAAGAAGGGGGCATCCACTTTGAAAGTGAAATTTCACCTTCTGGAATTCAGAGAAGTAATGAAACATTTAGTAACTTCTTATTTCAGTAAGAAACAAAACAATCATGAGATTGTGCATTTTTGCAAGTCTTATTAATGGCTGACTTCCAGAAGCCACTTGGGTTCTTTTGCTTCTGCATTCAGTCTCTTGGGATAGTACCATGTTCTATGCCCATTAGAAAACTAACTTAATGAGAATACATTTAGTATTATTATGAAAATCGCTATATCAGGGATCCTCTGTCGGAACTATATTTTTAGGACCTATAGCATATAAGGAAGCCACTAAGACACTGATTTTCCATGTTTAAGTTATGCTGTAGTAAGAAGTTTGGAGTTTACTACATTCTAGTTAGTGTGTTTAGCTCAACCTCAAATAGTGTATAAAATATTCCTCTGAGTAATTTAACTCTAGATAACCTTAGTCCAGATTCTCACATTTTCTTTTAGTCATTATTGTACCAGACTTTGTTTTAAAGCTGTTCAGGAAGTAGCTCACAATCATCTAGTGACTTCACTTACTGAGTAATGAATCTTAGAGATAACAGAACAGTTCTTCCCTCATATCTTTAGGGGATACATTCCAAGACCCCCAGTGACTGCCTGGAGGCCTGAGTGGTCCTGAATCTTATATATGCTTTTAAAGAGGACAGAAAGATTTTCTTTCTGCTAGTTCACTCCCCAAGTGGCCAAAACAGCCAGAGCTGCTCTGATCCAAAGCCAGCAGCCAAGAGCTTCTTCCGGGTCTCCCACATGGATATAGAGTCCCAAGGCCTTGAGCCAACCTCTAATGCTTTCCCAGGCCACAAGCAGGAGGCTGGCTGGATGGGAAGTAGAAAAACCAGGACATGAACCGGCCCCCATGCAGGCTGTGGCAGATGCAAGGCAAGGATTTAACCACTAGGCTATTGTGCCAGGCCCTTGTATATACTTTTGTTTCTTTGAATACATGCATTTGATAAAGGTTAATTTAAATTAGGCACAAAGATTAAGAGCAGTATTCTATTTCTACATGTCAAATTTGAATGTGATTTTAAATGAAAAGTGACCATGGTAGTCCCTAAAATGTAGTAGGCTTTAAATAAATTTAAATTCCCTTTTCTCTCCCACTTCACCCCTCCCAGTTAGACTTTTTAAAATTTAGAACTTTTATCTTTTGGGCACACGGGATAAAAGTTACTATAAATGCATAAATCAGTAGCATGAATTTAAATACTGGTATTTTTTAATAAATTAAAGTTTAGTATTTGAAGCTTGATTTAATTTTTAACAGTGTACTACCAGCAGTGGTATTGGTGGGTTTTTAGCATTGCCATCTGTTTTATAGTAAGTGGAGTCTTACTGATGGGTCCATCTTTATTTTGAAAAATAATAGTGACAGTTACATTTATGTGTTTGCTCACCACTCAGTTTTGTTTAATTTTTTCAATTTTGTGAGATTAAGTAACAATCAAGAAGGTTTGCATTTTCTTTTAAGTCCTTAACTCTTCTCTTTTTTTTTCCCCTTCAGACAGTTCAATTTGTTCAGGGAATTTTTGTTGAAAAATATGACCCGACGATAGAAGATTCCTATAGAAAGGTAAAGTGTGAAACTTGTATACGCATGCTTACAGTAGTCTTTTTGTGACATTAAAACTTGTTTCATGTAGTTGCTTTTTAAAGTTTTGAGAAATGATAGAATTATTCTCTTTGTTGTACGCTTCACCTAGACAAAATATTTATTAATGTGTTTTAAGTAACTCCATGTTCCATTTCCCAGTTACATATGATCAGTACATAGATTTTTGTTAACTAGTTGTTAATAAAAGTTAAAATCACTTTTATACTTGAAGTTAATTGAGTGAAAGTTTTTGTTAAACGTCCACAGAATAGACAGTATCAAAAGAAAGCCACCACAGTGTGTGGACATGTGTGCGTTGGTGGTATCAGATGTGCTGTTCACGCGGCTTGCTGAGTGGGGGAGCTTTGGGTGTGTGCAAGCAGGGAGCACACAAGGCATGTCTGGACTGTCCCCTCGGTAGTGCTGTGAATCTAAAGCCTACTGTAAAATGCTCTCTCTGAGTGAAAGAAATAGTGGTCTTGCCCAAAACAATTTTCTACTGTAAAACAATCTAGGATTATGGAAAACCTAAATTTTATTTCCTGACTGTGTGAGCGGAGAAAAGACAGTGTTAATGCAAGACTGGTGACCAGGAGTAAACAAAAAGTAAATAAATAAATCAAAAACCTGCATTTCAGCAATAAGAATGGATTGCTTTGTTCAGTGTTTTTAGAATATGTTTGTATTAGTGCTATTCCTTTTATTAAATTAATCCAGCAATATTGACAGCAATTTCACTGTCTTCAAATTGGAAACAGAATTGTGTTTCACTGGGAAAGTACAGAGCTAATTTGTTATTCTCTGAGCATCGCGGTTACAGATTTTCAGGTTACAAGCACACTTGTTGCATTTGTGGTGGGGTGATAGTTTGTGGCCTGCATTTTTCTGGAACTTTCCCAAAATAATTTGCTAGTTAAATCTTTAACTACAAAACAAAATTTTTGCCTAAAACACTAAAGGCATAGCTTCTCTTAATCCCTTCTTTAGTAAATGCTTCCACACAGTCGAAAATTGATCCTTTTTTAGGCCAGCCTTCTCTTTTGTAAGACAGAAGGAAAGTAGAATTCTGTGCATAAAATTTAATCTTTGGGGCCTAGCAGGTAACATCCTTGCCTTGAACACTCCAGGATCCTATATGGATGCTGGTTCTAATCGTAGCAGCTCCGCTTCCCATCCAGCTCCCTGCTTGTGGCCTGGGAAAGCAGTTGAGGATGGCCCAAAGCCTTGGGATCCTGCACCGACATGGGAGATTTGGAGGAAGTTTCTGGCTCCTGGCTTTGGCTCAGCTCAGTTCTGGCTGTTGCAGTCACTTGGGGAGTGAATCATCGGACCAAAGATCTTTCTCTCTGTCTCTGCTCCTCTCTGTGTATCTGACTTTGCAATGAAAACAAATAAATCTTTAAAAAAAATTTAATCTTTGGAGCCGAGTCAGTAGTATAGTAGGTTAATCCTCTGCCTGTGGTGCTGGCGTTCCATGTAGACACAAATTCTAATCCTGACTGCTACACTTCTGACCCAAGTGGAGAATGGCGCAAGTCCTTGGGCCCTTACACCTACATGAGAACCCAGAAGAAGTTCCTGACACCCAGATTTGGACCAACCTAATTCTAGCTGTGGTGGGCATTTTGGAAGTGAACCAGCAGGTAGAAGATCTCTCTCTGTGTCTCTGCCCCCACCTCTGTAACTTTTTCAAGTAAATATTTAAAAAAAAAAAAAAAGAAGAAGAAGAAGAAAACATGACATTTACACAGTTTTTTGCCTTTTTAAGAAGTGCCTTTATCTTAAAAAAAAAAAAAAGTTTGGACTCTGTTGATGAGTTTACACCTCTCTGTTCCCTTTTAAAGATTTATCTATTTTTATTGGAAAACAAGTTACAGAGCGAGGAGAGACGAAAAGAGACATCTTCTGTTTGCTGGTTCACTCCCGAAATGGCCACAATGGCCAAAGCTGAGCTGGTGGGAGCCAGGGACTTCTTGATCTCCCATGTGGATTCAGGGTCGCAAGGACTTGAGCCATCCTCTGCTGCTTCCCTATACCATAAGCAGGGAGCTGGATTGGAAGTGGAGCAGCAAAGACGCAAAACAGCATCCATATGGACTGTTTTCACCACAGGGGAGACTTAGCCTTCTGCACCACCATGCCATCTCCCCTCTGTTCCCTTTTAAAGTCAAATTATCATGTGAGTTAAATCTTGTACATGTTTAAGTAAAATTTTAACTTGAATGTGGTAAATTGGCAGTTATTTTTTGTTTCAAAATCATCTTGTGTGCCTTTTGAACCTTTAATACAATTTCTTATTTTGTTTTCTCTGAGGAAGTTATGTACCTATACTTTTTTTCCCTTCAGAACTAAATCTGATTGTTACAGTTTTTCTTAAATTTCACAGAATGGTTGTTTGCTTTTAATAACAAGTACAATACAGTGATTGGAAAATATCTAAACTCAACAGTAACCTCTTGGCTTCTAAAATACTAACAGAATGTGGTTGAGCCCCATTCTTGATGTGGCACTGTATTCAGTCCCTGCCCATGCAGCAAATCTTGGAGAAGATCTTTAACATCATGAGGTATGTTAGGCAACAGACGAGGCTTTGATATTTCTTTTCATGTTTTGTTTTTTTTTTCCTTCCCCACAGCAAGTTGAAGTAGATTGCCAGCAGTGTATGCTCGAAATCCTGGACACAGCAGGAACAGTAAGGATATTATCTTTCTTTGATAGATTTGAACTTATGAACAGGTATTTTCAGAATTGCTGAATAATGCTCAGTAAAAATAATCATTCTGTTTAGGAATAGGTTTTACGAATGTAGGGCATCTTAGATTTTGTGTATGAAATCAGCTGTGATGTGTTTAATTGCCACCATTGAGTTCTCCTGAAGAATCTGTGTGTTGGCTTTTTCTGTTGACGCAAAGAGTGTGTAAAGTGCTTTAGAATTTAAGTTCTTTTAAATCCAGAATGTTATTGAGATAGGCCTGTCTGTGAGTCTGAGTTGTCTGCCCTCCCTCTCTGGCCCCACCTCCTGTCATCACCTCCTGGCTCAACTTGTAAAACACTTCGCCTGTTTCCCCTCCAGGCCTTTGTGTTGGCCGTGCCCTGCCATCTAGAAGATTCTTCTTCCACATACCCACAGAGCTTACTGAGCTGTTACCTGGGAGGCCTTCCTCCCAGAGCATCTTGTAAACTATAACAAAGTTCCCACCTGCCCAAAACTCTGCCTGCTCTCCTGCAATGCTTTGTTTTTCCCTGCAATATTGATAAACTTCCCACATACTGTATACTTTATTTTTGTCTCCACATACTCCTCCAGGCTGTATTCACCATCCCTCCCCTAGTGCTACAGCAAGGTCTGGCACATACAGGTCCTCCTTGGGTATTTACCGAATGGATGAATCTTACTTGATTTATTATATGATTAAGTATTTAGATGATGGCACTATTTAATTAGTTACTGTAATTGTGCTTCCTGGAATCTACACAGGTTATAGAAGGAAATTCTAGGAAACCCCCAGTTTTAATATCTTTCTCACAAAATGCAGTGGCAGTAGTATGGAAAATTCAGCATAGTCCTTTGGCACTCCAGAACCCAGGGAAAATAAGTGATGGTGTCGCGTACTCCCTCAACTGTACAGTAAATGCATCAGCCAAATTGGAACAATTGGAACTGTTTCAGATGTCCTAGACAAAATGCAGGTGGATGGAGATCCAGGAAGCAAAGGCAGCAAAACTCTTAAGAAACATTGTGCATTAAGGTCTTTTACGTACAATACATCCAAAGATGTGAAGATATAAGATACATAGTTACAAAGAGCCAAGATGTATTTGTGTACATTTTAAACATTTTACCACATTTGCTTGCTTTTGCTACCATGTGTAAAATATCCATTTTGTAAGATTCTGTTATATGTTACTATCTTCAGTTCTAGAGTAGTGATAATCACCAAGTAAGAAGGAGTGAGCAGAACTCTAATTGGATGTGACTGTAGCGTGGGGACCACATGTTAGCAGTTAGTGGGTCTAAGTAAAGGCCGTGGGTAGTCATTGCACTGTTCTGCATATTTTCTACAAGTCTGAACATGGAAAATCAATGAACACATTCTTATCAAGAGAATCAGTCTGCCAGTATGTGGAACAGTGTGTGCTAGATGATTAGGTCATAATTGAGGGCTGGAATTATGCTTCGGACTGTTCTTCACTAGATACAGCAGTAGTTATTTCATGAAATTCCCAAGCAAAATTAAGGTATGTATAAATTTTTAAAATAATAATTGTGTACAGTTCTTCTAAATCACAGAAAAGCAGATTAAGGTGGAAATTCCTTCTAATTTGGTAGTTTTGTTGTTATTTTTTATGGTCACCCTATTAGGGAATAGGAACATTCACGTCAAAGTGAACTAAAAAGTACATACTTTATATCTCATTTTTTTTATTATAGCATGTGATCTTTTTAAAATGTAGTTTACTTGTAATTAGTCTGTTACAGTAAAGAGCTTTATACTGTCATAATTATATTATTTTTTATTATAGGAACAATTTACGGCAATGAGGGATTTGTATATGAAGAATGGCCAGGGGTTTGCACTAGTGTATTCTATCACAGCTCAGTCCACATTCAATGACTTACAAGACCTGAGGGAACAGATTTTACGGGTTAAAGACACAGAAGATGTAAGTATTTCTTTTCTCTAAGAAGAGTACTTCTAACAGAGTAAAAATCTTTACTCTGTTAGCCCTACCTTCGGACCAGAGAAGGTCTCCCCAAGAGGCCACTGAACTTATCTGGACAATAAGACGCTGAACTTTATGCTAGGCATGTGTTTGCAAGGAATGAATCTCAACTGAACTTGAACTATGGTTATGCAACAAGGTGGAGGAATCCACCATGGGGGGAGGGGTATGGGAGGGGTGGGGGGAATCCCCAGCGCCTATAAAACTGTACTACATAATACAATGTAAGCAACAATTAAAAAAAAAGAAGAAGAAGAGTACTTCTGTCTTCAGCCAAATAAAAGTTTGTGTTGGGCTCAGTGAAGTAGCCTAGTAGCTGGGGTCCTCGCCGTGCACGTTTTGGGATCCCATATGGGCGCTGGTTCATGTCCCGGGGGCCTTGCTTCCCATCCAGCTTCCTGCATGTGGCCTGGAAAAGCAGTGGAACATGGCCCAAGGCCTTGAAACCCTGTACCTACATGGGAGATCCAGAAGGAGCTCCTGGCTCCTGGCTTCAGATTGGCCCAGCTCTGGCCATTGCAGCTGCTTGAGGAGTGAATCAGCAGACAGAAGATCTTCCTCTGTCTCTCTCCTCCTTTCTGTGTATCTGCCTTTCCAATAAATGAATCTTTAAGAAAAAGTTTGTTTTCTCATTAGAGAATTTGAAAGGTATTTTCCATATGCCAAAGGGCCCCTGAAACAAACCAACAAACAAAACCACACCCCTTTCAAAATGAAATCACAAAATTGCATGCTAAAATGTTTGTAGAATGAGGAAGTACATGATCAGCTGCTCATTGTGCTATGTAGATAAAACATACAATTAAACAATACTTCACCGGGCACAGCCTGAGATTCCAGCATCCACATGAGTGATGGTCTGAGTCCTGGCTACTCCACTTCCCATACAGTTCCTTGCTGATGTGCCTGGGAAAGCAGCAGAGGATGACCCAAGTGCTTGGACCCTGCCATCAGCACAAGACCCAGATGGAATTGTAGCCCTCTGAGGAGTGAGCCAGCAGATGGGGAATTGATAATCTCTCTTTCTGTTTCTAACTCAGCCTTTCAAATAAATAAGGCAGTCTTTATTTTTTTTTCATAAGTCATTCTTTATTACAAACACTTCCAAGAAGTGAGAGTTTAGTTTTGGAAACCAGTAGTTATATCAGAGAAACAGTATTCAAAGAGCATTGAACATTATCAGGAGCCAGCAACTTACAAACAAATGACTTTTGTTCTCCAGATACTTTTTATTAAGCAAGTTAATAAATTTTCTTGCTTGTCTGGTTTAAGGAGAGTAGAAAATCATAGCCCCATGTGACTGAGCATCCATGACATGTAGAAAAAGAGATCACAGCTGCCTTTTGGCTTTGTTGCTAATCTTTCTTAACATCACAGCTAGACAGATGTTTGAATCTAGACGTCAAATGCACATAGATGAAGGCCCCATTTCTGTGTTGGTCTTGTCACCACTTTTAGCTTTTGATGATATGTCAGTGAGTTGAAGCACTTAAGTCGGTATCAATGAGTACATACTCTGTATTCCAAGAGGGCTTTTTTTGGTTTTTTTGTTTTTTGTTTGTTTGTTTTGGTTCTTTTTTTGGTTTCTTCTTTTTGTTTTGTTTTGTTTTGTTTTGAATTCAGCTCTCAAAAGCAGCATGAAAATTTGGGGAGTCTATTCCTTACATAATTTGACAAATGACTATAATAGAATCCCTTCTGTATTTCTTGGTGTCTACTCTCTTCCCCTCCCCTAACATGTGCATATATCTTTAAAGGCACTTGGTGAAGCTGAGAATTGCAACACATTTCAGCTGGTGGCAGATAGTTACTTATTTGTAAAAAGAGGTTAAATGCTGAGTATTTTGTTTTTCATTTTCTGTTTTCTCTTTCCTATAGGTTCCAATGATTTTGGTTGGCAATAAATGTGACCTGGAAGATGAACGAGTAGTTGGCAAGGAACAGGGACAGAATTTAGCAAGACAGTGGTGTAACTGTGCCTTTTTAGAATCTTCAGCAAAGTCAAAGATCAACGTTAATGAGGTAACCTGCAGAAACTGGGTATCACAAATAAGTGCCTTTTAATTTTCCTTGCCTTTAATTCATTCCTCAGGGTTTGTTTGTGTGTGAGTGTTTAATGAAAACCTTTTGTTCGAAGCAATCTTGATTCTGTCACTTTTAATATGACACTGATTCCTGGAAACTGTATTCTTTAGCTTGGACAGGCTCATGTTGGTGACTAATGACGATACTTCCTTTCTATTGTCAAAGAAGTTAAAAGTAAGAGAATATGTATAAAATCCTGCTAAGCCTCTAAACGATTTGTCACAAAGTAGTGTGTGAAAACTGTCACATTACATTTGTATTGTAATACTTACCTATCAAGATATATATACATGTGTTCTAAACTCAGGAAAACAAGCAGTTTATTACAAATTAATTTTTTTAATTTTATTTTTTATAATTTTTACATTGTTGATTAGGGCTCAAAGGGTCAAGGGCTACAGGAAAGTGGGTAACACCATTGTTATCACATTCTCTCTCTCTCTCTTTTTTTAATTTCTGTATCTGGGATAAAGGGAGAAGCCCCACCTAGCCTCCCACCCAGAGAAACTTCATCTGAGGTGATCTCAGACTTGATTCTTGTGTGTGCATGCCAGTACAGGGTCCGGCACAGTCCATCGCCCCAGTCAGCTAATTCATGTGCTGGTGGTTGCAATTGCTGGGTCAGTTCTGCATCCAGCCCTGTCTTCTACACAAACCAATGGGTATTGCAACCCAGCCTGATCTTGCCCACCACACACTTGGTCCTCTCACAAACCAGTGGGAGCTGCAGCCTAGTAGGAGCAACCCATAATAACTCCCACCAGGCCTGCCCCCTGTCCTGGTTTCCATGCTTGCCAGTGTATACTGCAGACTGGTCCTGTCTGTCCCACATCCCATTCAGATATCGTACATGCCGATGGGCATTGAAGCCTAGTTCAACCCAACCAGCTTCTCTATCCAGCCCACACACCTGCTGGTGCGTACTGTTCTGTGTAGCTATGCTTGCCCCAGTCCTGGTTTTCATGATTTCCAGTGGGAATGATAACCCAAGAGGGAGTTTGCCCACTATTTCCCTACTTACCTATCAAGATGTATATGCATGTGTTCTAAAGTCAAGTAAGAAAACAAGCAAAGTACTTTATTACAAATTAATTTTTGCTACACAAAATGATATTGCTACCTTCATGGAATCAGATTTGCCTGAGTCTTGCCACACCTTTTGGTGCATGTGGTGCCTTTCGTACATGCCTGGAGGTTAGGGGGAGCATGGCTATGGACAGAAATGCTTAGCAGGCATGTAAAGGGTTTTCTGGTCCCAAAAAATTAGTGCATTTCCTAACTGCCCAATTCAACCAAACAAAAATGTGAGATAACCCCTTAGCTTTGTTAGCTTTCAGCCTTAAAAAAAAAAAAAGAAAAAAAAAACAAGTGGAACTCTTTTCTTTCTTATTCCCTTGCCTAGTATTTGCCATGTGTAGCATTAGCAGAATGGGTCAGAATTCAGATCATTTAGGGCACAGGTAAGAAAAGCAGGTATCCTTGACTGATACACTTATACACTATTATTTAATTTCTAAAATGACCAAATTAAATTTCCAGTAGAAAAAAAATTAAATATGCTACATACAAGTCTATGTTTTACAGACTATTTTTTTTACATCACATAAAAGTAAAAAATTAGTATGTTTTATTTATTAATGAAATATTTACTCAGTGCTTTTAATATGTCTGATACTATGTTAGACACCCAGGCAACAGGTAATAGTCACCCAGACAGACACTGCTTCTGCCCTTAAGAGGGTCACATCTAACGGGGGAGAGGAACAAGACTGCCACTGCGAAGAACAGGGGATGTGGTAGACTTCCAGCTTCCATTTTCTCTCCTAATAGAATTACTTTGCTAAAAGTTATCTCAAAATATGTGGTTATAAATAAGATTTTGGTTTTTAATATAGCATTTTCCTTTTTTTAAAAAGTAACTTTAAAAGAATTCATTAAGACTGGTGAAAGATGCTTGGCTCTTGGAATAGTAGTATGAAGGTCGCTATACAGGATGACTGGCTTCAGGAACCTTCTTGTCCCTGTCCTCACCCTTTCTGCTGTCCACCCCACTGAGCACCACATTGGCTGGGACTAGGTAGGATGAGGTCTCAGCTCTTGGAACTTGGAGAAACTGTTTCTCACCTCACAGCATTCCACATTTGGAGAAGCTGACTTGCTGCTATCCTGACAATCCAGCTACCAAATTCCTTTGAGTTAACAGTTCCTTAGACAGCTTGTGCCTTGTAAATGTTTGTGTGATTTTTAAATGGCTCAAGCTAGAGGGATAATACCTTCCCAGGATTCCATTCTTGGCCTCAGATTGGAAAACAGGCAAGACTCACTGCTTTACCAAAGAGCACTCTGACTCTGACGTATATGTGTTGACCATAGAACTTGTACCGTGTTCTTAAAAAGAGCAAACATTTATACCAGAATCGCATCAGTTTTAATCAGGAATCAGTTGTTCTTTGCTAAGGCTGGAACAGTAATTGTAATCAAGACATCCTTAATTTAAGAATGGGATAGGGATTGAGAAACGTATTCTGTGTTCCCTTCAGATTTTTCTGTAGTTCAGAGAGATGAGGAAGAACTTAAGCTGGGGACTTTCAGCATTTCTCACCAAATATTATAGTTCCAACTTCCCCTCATCACTGAGCCATGTGCTGCTATGATGTAGGCAGTGTTTTCCAAAGAAACCATTTAGAATAATACTACAGAGATTAGTTCTCTCTGTTATAGCATGTTCCAGAAACCAGAAACTGAGTAGCATGAACAAAGTGAAATAGAATCTGTGTGCTTTTAATTGACTTACTGTTCTAGTTTACCTTTTGATTATTTTTCATATTATAACTTCTGCACTGAGCCTAGTGAGTCAATGAGAACTATTTTTGGCTTATGCACAGTAAATTTATGAAAGTATCAAGAATTGTGAAACACTTGGACTTTGAAATTCAAAAACCAACTACCATTTTGTTTGTGCATCTTACGTTTTCAAACTTTTTTTGCAAATAAGATAATTGGGAGTTAAATGATTTGAAGAAGATGGACCAGAAAGAATATATTATGTCAGTTTTATAGTTTTGAAATAAATCACTCTTTGTTATTTATTTTGTAATCTTTGGACAGTTTAAAAGGTTAATAGGTAATTGTTAATATTTCAAGATGTTTTATTTTAAAATTTGACTCAAGATTAAGAGTACTTTAGAGAGAACAATTAAGAATTTCTGTTTACCCTTCATCCAGATGCACACTTATTAAAATTTTGCCACTTTTCCAGAAATACACTTTTACTCCTAAATATTTTAGTAAGTAAATCCTCAAATCAAAGGGCTTCTTGGGTCCGACGCAGTGGCCTAATGGCTAAAGTCCTCGCTTTGAATGTGCTGGGATACCATGTGGGCGCCAGTTCTAATCCCAGTAGCCCCACTTCCCATCCAGCTCCCTGATTGTGGTCTGGGAAAGCAGTCGAGGACAGCCCAAAGCATTGGGACCCTGCACCCAGAAGAGCTCCTGGCTCCCAGCTTCAGATGGGCGCAGCTCCAGCTGTTGTGGTCACATGGGGAGTGATCATCAGGTATAAGATCTCTCTGTCTCTCCTTCTCTCTGTATATCTGACTTTGCAATAAAAATAAATAAACCCTTTTTTTTAAAGGCTGCCTTATGTAACTACAACACAGTTATTAAATTGGGGAAAATGGCATTGGCAAGATCTGTGTTTGTGGTATGAGTATGTGCAGATTTTGCCAGTTGTCCCTGTGGTGCCCCTGAAAGCCAGTACATTTCTAAAACCCGCCACTACAAAAACATTGCTTATTCCAGATGGGTAGCAATAGGGGTGTTTGTGATACTTGCTTTTTAATCCAGACACTAGTAAATGAGTGCTTACATTTCATAGCAAAAAGCCAAGTTCAGTGGATATAGGCTATATTTTATGTTTAAACACATTAGCATACCTAAACCTGTGAAACTGTGTTAGTGTACCAGAATTAAAATAATCTGAATTTGTTAAATAAATAGCAATGTATTTTTATCTTCAATACTTTGCACTTTTATCTAATAATTTACTAACAGAATATTTTTGTTACTTTGTATCAGTGTTCAGTAAGACTTTTTCTTATTTTTAGCCTTAACCAAATTAATATTACTAAAATAGGGCAAGCAAAAATCATAGGCCCAGTCTACACATGACACCTTGAGAGGGGCACACTATCACACTGTCATTATTGTCCCATACACCAAAAGTACAACCTGAATCTAATCACGAGAAAATACCAGGCAAGCTTAGGGGAAATCTGTAGCATGGCTAGGCTTTGTCTTTCAGAAATGACAGTGCCCTGAAAGACAAAGGCCAGGGAACTGTTCAGATTGAGAGGGAGAGATGAGAGATGATAGGAAATAAACGTCAGTATGTGATCCTGTATGCATCCTGTTTCTAAGGGGAGAAACTGCTGTAAATTTCTGGGACGGTTTACAGACATGAAACTTGGGGCAAGTGCTGTGGCGTAGTAGGGTAAGCCTTGGCCTGTGGAACTGGCATCTCGCGTGGGCATTGTTTCTAGTCCCGGCTACTCCTCTCCCTGTCCTGCTCCCTGGTAATGTGCTTGGGAAAGCAGTGGAAGATGGCCCAAGTGCTTGTCTTGTGCATCCATATGGAAAACATTGAAGAAATTCCTGGCTTCAGATCTGCCCAGCTGTGGCCATTGTGGCAATTTGGAGAGTTAACCAGCAGATGGAAGAATTTCTTCCTTTCTCTATCTCTCCTTTTCTCTCTCTCTAAATCTGCCTTTCAAATAAAAGCATACAGGGCCTGGCATGATGGCTTAGTGGCTAAATCCTCACCTTGCACATGCTGGGATGCCATATGGGCACTGGATATGTGTCCCAGCTGCTCCATTTCCCATCCAGCTCCCTGCTTGTGGCATGAGAAAGCAGTCAAGGACGGCCCAAAGCCTTGGGACCCTGCACCTGTGTGGGAGACCTGGAAAAGGCTCTGGGCTTCTGGCTTCAGATCAGCTCGTTCTGGCCATTGCAGTCGATTGGGAGTAAACCAGCAGACAGAAGAGCTTTCTCTCTGACTCTCCTTTTCTCTGTAAATCTACCTTTCCAATTAAAAAAAAAAAAGAGCATATCTTCTAAATAAATAAAATTAGATTAATAAATAAAAATAAAGAAACAAATTTTGAAAAAGGAAATAAAAAATAATGCATTAATGCTTAAGTGTCTTGAATCTAATAACTATAATACAGTTAGCAAGAGAACATCCTTGTGTTTAGGAAATACACTCAACTAATAAGGAACTTCTTTGCAGACTACTTTCAAATGATCTGGAAAATAAGGGGGTGTGTGGGTGCGAGAGGGAGACTAAAACTGAAGTAAAAGTAGCAAAATGTTACTTGTCCGTGTGGGGAAAATATACAGAATTTCTTGATTATATTGTTACGCTTTCTACAAGTATAAAATTTTCACTACCCTATTTTCACTGTTTTTTTTTTTCTCTTAATTTAATATTGAGTTAGAGCAAGTGTATTTCCTTCATGAGTAGTTAAGTCCTACATTCCCCTGATTGAGTCTTCTGGGACTTTTTAAGAAACATGATTTTAAAACAAAGCAGCAAAATATAAATCAGAGTAATTCTTAGCCAAAATTGTTCTTTGGAACTCAACCTGGAATGTTGACTGACTGTAATTTTTTGTTTCGTTTTTGCTTAGATATTTTATGACCTGGTCAGACAAATAAATAGGAAAACACCAGTGGAAAAGAAGAAGCCTAAAAAGAAATCATGTCTGCTGCTCTAGACCCATGATCTGCAGCAGCTCTGAGCCAGGTAAGATGCTCAACGCAGAGCAGATGCTCCCTGTCTGCGGGAGGAGGGCTAGGATTGGTCCTCACCTTTGTCCCTTTCGGTTTCACCTGTTGCAGTATTTCTGTGCTTTGTAACTTGTGCTTGTGGTATTTAGTTGAGGTAGCACCCATTGCCTTCTCCTCATGAGATAGATTCTGAAGTCTGTCTGAACACAGACCATGTCTGTTTTACTCACTATTTTGTCCCCAGTGTTGCTGCAGAGTGGTTGCTCAAAAATATTACTTGAATGAACCAATGCTTACCTAGATAACTCCTACATTTATGCCGAATTGAAGTGAAGCATTTGTTCTTTTACAGCAAAGACATAATTGCACATTTGATCAGTTGTCTCAAGGTGAATATACCCGTATAAATAGTACTTATTCCTCCCTAAATGAGCCCCTGTCCTCATTTCTAACACCACAGATTAAACTTGCCTATGAACTTCACATGTAATGTATTATTTTGTATCTGGCTTCTTTCTTTTACGCTGGGTGCACTTGTGTGTGCGTGTGAGCATGTACATGCATATCTGATGGCTGTATGTCGAGGACTATAGAGATCAGAAAATATACTGTACATGCTGGTAGCTGCTAACACATTTCTTAAAGTGGTCACGTCATTTTTTAAGTTCCACATCCTCCCCCAGATCAGAATTGTCCATCTTTTTTGTCTGAGCCACTCTGGTAGTTAACGTGGTGGCATAATGTTGTAATTTACCTAGTAGTCATTTTCTCTGTGGTCGGGTTTGATTTCTTTCAACTAACCATTTCATCTGTAAGCTTCTGGGTGGTAGTTGACTTTTAAGTATCATTTATATTTTCATTAAGTGGATTCATTAGAGAGGAATTAGAGGTAGCATTTTAACTGCTTATCAAATGATAAATCTGGCTCTGTAGGACATCTGGTTTTCTTTTAACTTTGTATTTAAATTCCCTGGACAGTTTATACTTCAACAGCTTTATAAATAATGCCATCAAAGAATATTTTCATGGAGTGAATTTATGATGTAATTTGATTCCAATTATGTGAATATTACTAAACTTGGTCCAGTTAGAAAAAAGTAAATTCCTTGCACTTGAGAGTTGGTTACAGCAGCTTTTAAGTCTCTTGGGCCTATCTAGTGGATTACCTGTTCCAGAGCTTCAAAGATGTGTGAACGATATATTTTTTGGATAATCATATGTGAAAGTAGAGGGAAAATGAGCAGAAAGGAGAACTGAGCATGGGAATTGTCTTCGGGAGTCAGAGTTAGGAAGGATAGCTTCTGGCCAAGTGATGGCTAATTTAAGCTCTAAGTGAAGCCTTGACTCAGTGACTTTAATCATCGGTACCGTGAGAGGGAAGACTGGTAGGATGGCTGCTGTTAGTGTTTGTGTAGGTGAGAGATAGAGACAAGGAGGGCTCCAGTGGCTGAGCAGTATTGTTTCATTCTCTTACAGTTAGTTGCTCATGATATCATTACCTTAGCCAATCCCAGTTTAGTTTCCCATTCTTGGCAAATGTCCTTTCAGCTTATGTTGAACAGACAAGGTGCCTTCTCCTGGCCTATTGCAATTTTAAAAATTCATCCTTGCACATCCAACAGTGTGATGGTGGATGGCAAGCTTTACCTTGGAGGAGAGAGAGAGAGAAATCTAGTGATGATTTCCATCATGCTTGCATAAATTCTTAGACTCTGATATGTAATCCACCTTATACTGTACTTAATAAGTCACTCACTGTCTCAATGAATGCTTGATAATACCAAATAATAGGTGACTTAGCAATTGGAATAACTTTGCAGTGCATTTTATTGTGTTGTAAACTAAAGTGCCGTGTAGTTCCTGTGCTTTTAAACCTACTGTGGTTGACTAAAATAACAATTATAAATGTTTTACATTTAGTAAGAGTATGTGAACCTTATTAGGACAGCTTGTAAGGCTTGAGGCAAAGTTGTGTTGAAACATGCTTGTCTGTCTTATATAACTTTTAATGACCTCTGAGAGGAATTCATCCATGGGAGTTCTTCCTTGGTCTGCTTCTACTGAGTAGTCAGAATAACTTTGATTCTTTTCCAACTTTCAGTGAGTTTTATTTTATCATCTCTTGCCTTACCTGTATTAAAGGTGATGATCCTAACGTGCACCATCATAAAATGATTCAATAATGAATTTCCATGGAAAGTTTGTGCTGCAGGCAAGTGTCATTTGCTTAGCAGCAGTGCAGTTCTTAAAAAAATAAATGGAAGTAAAATATCACCATTTTTTTTCTGTACAAACAGGACTGCTGTGTAATGTGAAATACAAAGTATTTTAAAACAGAGTAGCTGAAGTTGATGAATTAACAATAAACTCAGCTTCCTATATTTGATTATGTTTTGATAAAATAACCCTGTTACTACAGCTGTGGAGTACAATTTAGTTCTCTAATAATGGTCATCCAAAACCATTGTTCCTTTCTATATTACTGGATATCTGCTTGTTAACTGCAATCTTCTGACAGCAGGAGATTAACCAGAACATATGTGTGTTTGTGTCTGTTCAATGTTCTAGATTACAGGAATGAAGAACTGTTGCCTACTTGGAAAGTGCCAGCATTCCAGTCTTCAAAAAATAAACCTGAAGAGGCTTCTCCTGTTTTATATATTATGTGAAGAATTTAGATCTTATATTGGTTTGCACAAGTTCCCTGGAAAAAAATTTCTCTGTGTATATCTCTTGGAAAATAAGACAATAGTATTTCTTTGCAATAGCAGTTATAACAGATGTGAAAATAAGTATACTTGACTCTGATATGATTATACAAATGAGCATGGATGCATTTCAAATGTTAGATATTGCTACTATAATCAAATGATTTCATATTGCCCTCTGATCATGATTTCCCCATCAAGCACTAAAAAGTCAAACATTACACTTTATATCTGTAATGATATAGATGTTGAGATTTTTCCCTCAGACTCACTGCAGCAGATAACTTTTTTGAGTCATTGACTTCATTTTATATTTAAAAATTATGAAATATCATCTGTCATTATATTCTAATTAAAATTGTGCATAATGCTTTGGAAAAAAATGGGTCTTTTATAGGAAAAAACTGGGATAACTGATTTCTATGGCTTTCAAAGCTAAAATATATAATATACTAAACCAACTCTAATATTGCTTCTTGTGTTTTACTGTCAGATTAAATTACAGCTTTTATGGATGATTAAATTTTAGTACATTTTCATTTGGTTTGTGTGTTTTTGTTATTGTTTAGATTTAAAGTTTTATTTTATGACAACCACATTGTTTTAAATGCGACAGTAGCTCCTTTCTGCCCAGTGTCTGCGGAACACTTGACGCTACTGACTGGTGATTCTCTAGGAGTAGACTTCGCTCTCTGTTCCAGATATATTTATTCCTACAATACAGTAGAATACATCAAACCACATAGAATAGTTTTGTATATCCTCTCCTGATCTTAAAGACTGTATCTTATTGAAGAAAATATCCCACTGTGTATTATTTTTATATGTAAAAAAGAAAAGTTTAATACTGTATCGAGGTTTAACTTTTACTGTTTCAGATCTTCCACAACTTGTAATCTCAGCAAGGGAATCCATTTTCCATTGTTAATGTGTTGGGTGTGAGTCCATCAATGAAGTGTTTCATGTGAAAATGTTCAAACCTGCTTTATAATAGACTGAAGAATCTGAAAGGGGAGAAAGATAGAGCACATAAAAGGGATGTGTCAAGTTCTTTCTGCTTTGACTAAATATGGGAAGAGATTGCCAAGTTAAACTTGTAGCTTGTAGTGGTGCTTTTCTTTTTCTTCCCAGTTATTTCCATATTTACAAAAGATAAGTAGGACATGGACCCAGTGTTACTTGTGTGTGTAGAGCAAACAGCTTGTTAGCCAGCCAGGTGTGCAGAAGGAGAAAGAACAAGCCTAGGAAACCCTGTGCCTTGTCCCCGAGTGTTCAGGAGGAGACGGGTCCTGGAAAATCTAAATCACTGCTCAGGGATTCAGACACTGTCTCGTTGCAACCAGGTGTGAAGAAGTGTTCACGCCTTGCTGAGATTGTCCAGGAGTGTGGTCAGCCGGCTGCTCAGTTACTGAATCAGTTTAAAATTCAGCTCTCAAATGTAAGCTCTGACCAACCTGAGAAATGTTACAATGTTTTTAAAAGTGGAAATTGTATTATTTTGAGTTTCTAATAAACGTAATTACCTAACACTTTCCTTCTACTGATCCTGATTGAGGGGCCAAAGAGATTATGCATTTAATATACTGATAGACCAGCTGAGACATGAGCAGTGTGTCCAGGTCAGGGTGGCGTATTATATTTCAAGATCCTCTGAAGTCTTCAGCTTTAGAACAGCTCTCAAACAGTTCTTTAGATTCAGAATCACAGACATCCCACAGACCAGGGAAGTTGCTGGACTATGACCTTGTTCATTACATTGTGTGACTGTTTGCCAGATTAAATAGCATCAGTAAGGACTACACTTTTCAGTCTACTTGACTGGGAGCATTATAGTCAGTGGGGAAATGGAGAGTCCTTGGATTCCTTGATCACATTTTATACATTTCACTTGAGTTAAAGATGGAACTTTCAAGAAGAAAATGCCTTTTGCGCAGTAGTACAGAGCAGTACCAGCTGAAATCAGAGAGGGAACTGCCGTCTCGAGGAAATCTGGTTAACTGAACAAGGTGAAAAGTGACCTGCAGAAAGTGAGGCTGAGGTGGTTTTCTGCTGTCCTCACGTGGACTTCTGAGTCGTGGTTCTAGAGGGAAAGGGACCTGAGTAAATGTCAGAGGAGTCCCCAAGGTGTTGCGTCAGCTTCGTTTGAAAATACCCAAGACCTAATGCCATTTTAGTATTCACCTCTACTTCAAGTATAATGGCTTCAGTTATATAAATAACATATAGAGATTTTAAATTTATAGTTGACAGTTTGACCATTGGTGTTTTTTTTTTTTTTCAGTTAAAACATAAAGTGCTTCTGTGCACCCTCAAGCAAAGGAATTTTACAACTCTTGCCAAGGCACAGTCTGGCTATATTCTTGCCCTCCAGCAGGGGGAGCTTCAGGATCATATACTGCATTCCTCAGCTCTCCCGAAGTCAGTCTGATGAGGCACTAGAAATACAAACACACAATCCTTCAATAGAATGAATTACGCCAATATATTGTGCTGTGACCCCCTGCATAGTATTCTTTATCGCCTTTTACTACTCAATCTGCTTCAAAGTTATATTGTACTTAAGAAAGTTAATCCTTAGAGAAAATGTTGATCTTTATTACCAGGAGGTTGGTTTGGAATCATTTATCCACACATGAATAGTAATAAAACCTGCATTTTTTTGAACCCAGCCAGTTTTATATATTTTGCCTCTTTAGTCTTGTAAGTATACAGATGTTTAGCAGTTCACATGCCTGAATCTTGTTTCAGGGACTCGATGACAACAAGAGAAATAAGGAGTATGCTGGGATTTTCTTTTGTAAACAAGTCCTAGTAGAATTGGAAAACATAAAATACACTTCTATGTATTACATGTATGTTGAAGCCAAAGTATCGGCAAATTGTCGGGTATTTGGAGGAGGAAAATAATTTATAAAGTAACCTTTTATATGAATCCTGCACTTATTTAAGTACTAAAAATATGTGTTAGCATAGCCCTTCCTGAATCAGCTCCAAACTTGAAAGGGCAGAGAGTGGTCTGGATGTTTGTCCAGGATCTGGAAAGCCTGCCTCGCAGGGAGGGAATGAATGTGAGCTTTGAGGCAGCCTAACCGCCCAGCTTTTTCTATTTCTATTTCTCCAAAATGTAGGAGTTGTACAGAACTCCTGAGGGCGTAGTGCAGGCACGGCACTGAGGCTTCTCTGTGCATTTGCATCTGGACTTGTTCAATGTGCAGTCCTTTCGTTGCCCTGTCTCACTTAAGGGTTCTTGTTACGAACATCTGGAGACTCTGAATTGAGCACCTATTTCTCTTTGCTAGAAAGCAGCATGGATTACATCTTGTAGACATGACTGGGCTGTGAAAGGATGGTGGCAGGGATGGTTTGGACTTGTTACAAAAGGGCCTCCTGCGGTTCTGACACTGCATTTCCCAATAACTGCTTCTCTTACAAAGAAGGGGTGGCTGTTACTCTTGAGGAAAAATCATAGTAAACCTTATCATTCGAAACTGGTGTGACTCATTTAGAGCTGTTGATTTCAGCTAATTTTTGTCTAAACTGTTCAAGTTTGTATTAAATGTAGGACATGCAAAGCAGAGCAGGACACGATCCGTTTGGACCTATCCACAAGCACTGGGCTTCTGCCATACTGCCAAGTGCTGGTCTGCACACTGGCGATACATGCTAAGCAGTGCAGACCCAAGGAGTTGCCCTGTGGAGCTTTGGGTACAGGATGCCAGTGTGTGTGAGAGTTACACGGTATAGGGATACAGAGTGCTGAGCAGAGGGAATGATGGCAGTGGTGAAGGTTCATAGTTGAGTGTGTGAATTATGTAACCCATCCCACTTCTTGGGGAAAGAAGAAACTTCCATTGCAACAACAAGAATTTGTGCAGTTGACTGGGTACAGCCATCATGGCTGGAGTGGAATGAACAACAGCAAGAAAAGCCGTCGATGACACAGGTATTGAGGTTGGCTACTGGGGAATTTCCTTCCAAGTAGGATTTTATGGAAAGGATTTCCAGCGAAGGATAGCACATGCTATCAGAAATACTCGGTTGGGAACGGCCTAGACAGACACAGCAGCAAGATACTGAATCAAGCAAGAAGTGATGGCTTGGACCTCAGTGGTAGGATGGAGTGGCTACATTCTAGATACAGTTTCAAAATGGAGCCTACAGGATTTACTGACATGCAGAGTGTGTTAGGAGTCCATGATAACTGAAATTTTGGTCCAATAATCTTGTCAACATTAAGACGGGCAGATGGGAAGGAGAATGGATTGTAAATCAGATCAGTGTTGGTTACACTGATGGTGAGATTTGTGGCAGATTCTCCTAAGCAACTAGATACAAACGCAATTCAGAAGAAGCAGCCCAAACCTACAGTTAATACTGTAAACACGGAGCCAGATAGGATCACCAGGGTTGGATGTAGACAGAGGAGATCTCTGAGACACTCCACTGTGAGGTGGGAACGCGAGTTGCCAGAGGCAGTCCAGAAGCAGCAGCAGGTCACCTTGATGGAGTGGAGAGTACAGTGTCTGGAGTAGATGCAGAAGAGGTGAGAACACACTGGAGGCATCGTGCAGCATTGTCGGCCCTACTAGGATGCATGAATCAGCACCGTGTTTAGGTGCCAATAGGAATGACCCATTGAGAAAGTCTGAGCGAGCAAAGTGAATGGGCTTCAATATAAAACTAAGAAGCTGAGGCCAGCACCATGGCACAGTAGGTTAAGCCCCTGCCTGCAGTGCCCACATCCCATATGAGTGCCAGTTCGTGACCCAGCTGATCCACTTTGCATCCAGCTCCCTGCCTATGGCCTGAGAAAGCAGCGGAGGATGGCGGGATACATGTTTATTGGAACATCTGAAATGCTTTATTACAGGCTGAACTAGACATTTAAGAAAGGGTGAAATTTTTCAGCAGTAGGAGTGGGAAGTAATATTAATGACAGGTATCAGGAAAAAGTGCAGAAAACACAAGAACAAATTCTGTAGTTGGAGTCATAAGATAATGTGGCTGGGGTCCAGCACTGTGGTATAGTCTGTTAAGCCATCGCCTGAAAGCAAGCATCCCAAGCACACCAGTTTGAGTCCCCATTGCTCCACTTCCAAAGCAGGGGAAAATGGCCCAAGTGCTTGGGCCCCTATACCTACATGGGAAAGCCACAAGAAACTCCTGGCTTCCAATTCCCCCAGGCCTGATCATTGTGGCCATTTGCAGAGTGAACTAGCAAATGGAAGGTTGTCTTCTCTCTACAATTCTCAAATAAATAAAATGAAGCTTTCCTTAAAAATTAACACGGAGGGCCTGGCACGGAAGCCTAGCGGCTAAAGTCCTCACCTTGAATGTGCCAGGATCCCTTATGGGTGTCGGTTCTAATCCTGGCAGCCCCACTTCCCATCCAGCTCTGTGCTGTGGCCTGGGAAAGAAGTCTTGGATGGCCCAAAGCCATGGGACCCTGCACCTACATTGAAGACCTGGAAGAAGTTCCTGGCTCCTGGCTTCAGATCAATGCAGCTCTGGCCTTTGTGGGCACTTGAGGAATAAATAAATAAATAATAAATAGATAAATCTTTTTAAAAATCAACATGGAGAGAATACTTACAGATGAGGACCAAGGCACGGCACAGCCATTGAAGCAAGAAGCCTGGGATCTAGTGTGGGCGGAATCAGGTGAAGAACAAAGACATGGCGGTGATCTAGGGAAGCGATGGAGAAGCAGCAGGACTGATCAGGATGAAGTCATCGTGTAAGTGTTAACCCTGTGGACACGAGTGTGCCTCCCACACTTCATTTCTCACTTCATTTTCCCATCTCTAACAAAAGTGGCCTCTGAGGTACATGGTTGTGATCACTCCCAGCCCAGTTTCAAAGGGAACCAGTATTAATATTTCGGCATACAAAGCAGCTAATGACTAGAGAAAAATAAACTCCCTTTTAAAATTTTTTTAAGATTAATTTTATTTTTATTGTAAAGTCAGATATACAGAGAGAAGAGACAGAGAAAGATCTCTGTCTGCTGATTCACTCCCCAAGCAGCAAGCAGAACTGATCTGAAGCCAGGAGCTCTTCTGGGTCTCCCACGCGGGTGCAGGATCCCAAGGCTTTGGGCCATCCTCGACTGCTTTCCCAGGCCACAAACAGGGAGCTGGATGGGAAGTAGGGCAGCCGGGATAAGAACCGGCACCCATAAGGGGTCCCGGCACGTGCAAGGCGAGGACTTTAGCTGCTAGGCTATGGTGCCAAGCCCTAAAATTTTTTATTTATTTTACTTGAAATAATTACAGAGGGAGAGGCATCTTCCATTTGCTGGCTACTCCCCTAAATGGCTGCAACAGCCAGAGCTGATCTGTTCCAAAGCTGAAAGCCAGAGCTTCTTCCAGGTCTCCCACATGAATGTGGGAGTCCCAAGGACTTAGATCATTCTCTGCTGCTTTCCCAGGCCATTAGCAGGGAACTGGATCAAACATGGAGCCATGGGGACTTGAGCTAGTGCTTGTATGGGATGCCAGCACCACAGGTGGAGAATTAGCTTGCTCTG